TGTTAGGATTTGGCATGATACCTTAATATAGTATTCTGCAAAGAGATTGGGAATGGTTACTGATACCGCTAATCGCTTAGAAGAGGGGGGAAAATGGAAAGTGTGATTGGAAGCCTGTGTTTATGTAAATATGGGCTCCTAAATGCTGCAGTAAGGGTGAAAGGGAAAAAATTTGAGGGTGTATGGGCACTTCTAAGGGTAAATATGTAAAATTCTCAAAATTTTGAGGATATAGAAAATAAATGGTACAAGTCCCATTTTATGGAGGAAAAGAAGCTGCAGAAGTTGCAAAATAAACTAAATCCATGGTAGATATCAGTAGAAAAGATTTTTGTTATGTTATGTCATATTATGTTATGTTTCATTATGTCATTTATATGCTATTTTTCTGCCATATTCTCACAGTCAAACTATAAAGTAAGCAGTATTAAAACAGCAAGAAAGAAATTTTAAAAAACAATTAAACATAAAAAATACTAAAACCACAATTAAAACAATTTTAACCATTTTAGAAACATTTTTAGAATCTCTACATTCAGTTAATGCAACATTCTCATTTATTGCATAAAAGTTTTCCTGAAAAGGAAGGTCTTTGCCTGATGACAGAATGATAAGAAGGAGGGTTTCTTGAGGCAGTGTGTTCCACTGCCTGGGAGTAGCCTATGAAATCTCTTTCACATCCTCACCACATAGGCCTGAGAAGTAGTGTGACGGATAGAAGGGCCCCTCAGAAGATGAGGAGGCTCATATGGGATGATATGGTCCTTCAGATAAATTGGATCCAAGCCATTAGGGCTTTATAGGTCATAACCAGCACTTTTGCATTGGCAGTGATGAACTTATTGCAAAATACTGCAGCATTTTGAATGCGTTTCTGAACAATCTTTACAAGCAGCTCCAGACAGAGTTTGCTGAAGTAATCCAGACAGGAAGTAACTAAACAATGTATCTCTATGGGCAGCTCAGATATCTCAAGGAATGAGTACAACTGGTGCAACAGTTGTAACTGTGTAGATATATTCGTAGCCACCACAAAGATCTGTGCATCCAGGTTCAGGGTTGAATCTAGGAGCACACCCAAGCTGGCAACCTGACTTTTGGGGGAGTATAACCCCATCTAGTACAAGCTGAATCCCTATTCCTTCGTCAGCCTTTTGACTGATCAAGAACACTGCTGTCTTTTCTGGATTGAGTTTCATTTTGTTGGTTGTTGTGGGTTTTTTGGGCTCTTTGGCCGTGTTCTGAAGGTTGTTCTTCCTAACGTTTCACCAGTCTCTGTTGCCGGCATCTTCAGAGGATAGCACTCTGTGTGCTGGTGTAGTTGGCTTTGGGAGTGCAGTATTTATGGCTGTGAGATAGGCCTTTGTCTTTTTCTGTTGATGGGTGATTAGTGTGTATTGTTGTGGGTGTATTGTTGTGCTAAGGAGAAGAGATTATCTGTTCCTGTGGGTGATGGGTGTCATTAGCTGGTCTTTTGTGTATAGTGCTCCCCTGTCCTTGTGGCTGGGTAGAGTTCGTTGACCTTTTGCACGCGGTATTTTTGAGAGCTGGGAGCCAAGTTTTGTTGAGCTGACGTAATGATTACTGGTGTTGTCCAGTATTTCAGTATTTTGGAATAGAATTTTATGTCCAGTTTGTTTCAGGGCATGTTCAGCTACTGCAGATTTTTCTGGTTGTTTTAGTCTGCAGTGTCTCTCATGTTCTTTGATTCTGGTGTGCATGCTTCGTTTTGTGGTTCCAATATATACCTGGCCACAACTGCAAATCATTACGTCAGACTACACAGGGAAGCCATTGAAATCCACAAGTACCAGCAAAACTTCAATAGAAGTTTGGACTGCTATATGGCTTGGTGTCATGTGCTATGACAGCAATCACTGTGGATTCAATCAGTTTTTTCTGGGCAGTGTAGTTTTAGCCATGGAGAGCAATGAGGTTGATGGGGAGATCCTCTGCTATAGGTGGGTCTTGACTGAGGAGGAGAGCCACCATGGATAGCAGAGGCTATCCCCATCAGATTTGCCATTCCTTGTGCCTAAGAGAATGACAAAATCAGAAAGGGGGAGGAAGAGCGAAAACGCATCACCTAGGGTAGGAATGCATGATTTGCGACTGGCTGAATACAGCTACAAAGAGGGCACTTTCTTGGACACTAGTCATGTATACACAAGACCTAGGCTGGATGAAAGAAGGGAGAAATTTCCCATTAATGATAGCTGCTTGCACTTTTATACAGAGTCTTGCCTATTTCTCTGGGAATCTTGTCTTTTTATATTGTTGCGCTTTCTAATACTAAAGCCCCATCAGCCACCTATTTAATGCTGTGTTGTTCCTCCAGTGAGTAATTCAAAAGTCTTCCTCTCTACGTCCATTGCCCCCTCCACTCCATTTTTATATTCCTAACTGCATGCTTCTCTGGGTTTGATTCTTGTTTAATATCTTAGTGCCTTTAATGACAGCAGGAGCTGGTGGTTGCTCTCTGTGGGTGGTGTGGTAGGAGGCTGTGCTTGAGGTGAGGAGATTTGATTAAAGTCTCCTTTTCTTTGTCATGATTTGCTTCCTCCTTGTGGAATAAACAAACTTAGGCATGCTGACTATCTTAATATGTATTGTTTAATGGTTTGTGTTTAAAAGAGGCATGCTGGAGTACTTCCTTGTCATTTTTACTTGCTTTGACTAGAAAGGCTTAACAGTGACTTGCTCTCAAAAATCTTGATGTGAAAAACAGTCTATTAGAAAACCAAAAGGATGATAGTAGAAATGTTCTTATTCCTACATCTGTCTCTCTCTCCTGGAATGTTCAGTCAGAGACTGTGTCTCCTTCAGACTGATTTTTGTGTCGTCGGACAATCTGTTTATAGTATGATCACTCCACATCTGAGGAGAAAATGATGTATGTATATAACTGTGAGAAAGAAAGTAAATAGTCTTAAGAGGTTTAATATAAACTTGGCATTTATGTGGGTAGAACACGTGTACATTTCTTATGGCAGCCATTGAAATACTGTTTAGATGGTAGATGAAATTAACCTAGTGGTCTGAATTGTTCTCTGGAGGGCAGTTTCTGAAACAAATTTTACAATACTTCCCTTATTTACAGGGTGGAGAATGCTGATTGAACTCGGAGAATCAAGAACAGGGCAGTGGACTTGCATGGGAGTGTATGAACTGTTTTGTACAGAAGAGAAGGGCAGGAACATGCCAGGCTGAGATACACCGAAAAGAGTTATGTGAGAGATGTGCAGGTCAAAGCTAAAGTGCAGTTACAGAGTGATGTGGAGAAATTTATACACTGAGAAATCAGATTGGTTTCTGTAGACTTTAATGCTGTCTAACCCACATGGGCCAGAGAGTGAGAGGGGAAAGAGAGGGAAAGTGCCAACCACAGCAAGTTGTGTGTCTCTCACAGGGTCTGATTAAATAGAGCTGCCAAATGAGGTCAACCCTTGTTGACTTGCTGACAGGCTGGCTGGAAGGTGCTATGATTTGGAAGGGAAGTGATATTGATCTTTTAAAAAACAAAACAATTCTCCTCTCAAGCCTTTCAAACCATGTGATAATTAATTGATGATGTCCAGTTGTTGTGGGTTTTTTTGTTTCTTCAGAATCTTTATAAAAGAATCCTATATCCCTGAGGAAAAGTGTTAGAGATCATGTGAGTAAGTGTCAGGAATTGATGAGGTGGAATCCACTTGCTTCTCTTTCTCGGTAGCTGCAGTTCCAGGGGGCATTTATTTGCCTTCCTGGGTTTTTTCCTGCTGTTTTTAGTCAGTGTGTTGGTGGTCAATGACTCTCACTGTTATATTGCAGGATGTTCAGTATACCTAATCAATTCAAAACAGATGTTGGTGTGGCAAGCCACATGGGACAGTTCTCTCCATCTTACTATACTTGTCAGCTTTGCAGGGGCAAAAAACAGACACTTGTTTTGATCTGATACAACTGATCAATATACTTTATCTTATAACATAGGGACTCTCCGTTTATGTTGCATTGGACTCTATGGTATGTTTTGCTGTATACGGGCGCACACTCCATATGTAAGGAGGCATTTATTTTGTTTTTGCTGAGTGATATCTCATCTGTTGTGATGTTACATAGCTTACAGAAGGAGACATTGGATATAACTGGGCTTTGTTTTAATGTCATATTTGCATTTGCTCTTTTATCTGTAGAAGATAATTTTGTAATTTTTACTTCATTTGTTCTCAAACCAGGTCTGTGAGATATGAAATACTAAACGACAGTGAGTTGCTTAAGGCAATCTCATCAACTGCTATTTGAGTCTGGATCTAGCTGCTTCTCTGTCTCTCTTTTTGGGTCTGTTGTAAAGATGTAAAATTTCTGAAAATTTCCATTTCTCCCCCCAAAAAACAGAAAAATAATTTTACCTGAAAAAATGGAATTTTCCAGAAATTTTACATCTCTAGTCTGTCCTAGTCAGAGCAGCACACATGAGCTTGTCCCCATTTTATCCCCTGAACAACCCTAAAAAGAACATTAGACTGAAAGATGGTGACTGACCTTGCAAAGCACTGTTAACGTCTTGACTAGTTAAAAGGAGGGAGGATTATAAATACAGAGAGAAAGATTAGCAACATGTGGCCCTCTATCCCTGCTTGTTGGTGATACTGGTTATGACTAATGGGAATCATAGTCCAAAAACATCTGGAGAACAAAATATTGGCCCCCAGTCTATAATAATAGATGTGCCTCTGCCTATGAATTCCATGACAATGAAACCTAGGCACTTGGAAGCAGGCTTGCACTGTAAAGGAATCCAAGGGGAATTTGCCAGGGATTATTTGTTTTTTAAATGCATTAATTGATGGGTATATGTGTTCAACCCTGACATCCATGTAACTTTGCTTGAAGCCTTTGATATATCAAACTAAGGGCTAAATACCTTTGTTACCATGAATATATTATTTATGCATGCATAAAGTTATATTTTTATAAAACACATGGATACTAATTATTTTTATCCATCTTTCTTACAGAGTTTTCTCCTTTTTTAGTTTCTTCTCTGGTTCTATTTTGATGATGATCCTCAAAGGATTTTTCCATACTGTAGAGAAGATAAAGGTATGAAAAAAAATTTTTTTGAAGGTGGTAATAATTATGTCAAAAATGTTTGTCCCAGAATCTTTTAGATTGTGCTTGAAAGAAAGATCAATTTTATTGAGAGCTTTAAAGGCCACTTCATAACGTGTATACATGTAAAAATATAAGATATGGTCATAGCAAATGTATTTTCCACGTTCATTGCAAATATGTCAGGGTACAAGCACGGAAAGCAGCTTCTTGTTGTTCTTACATGCTATGGTAAACTTGTACTTAACTACGGTATACATATGTGAAGTGGCCATTAACTGATTACTGACGAAGTGGAAACTGTAAGACTCCTTTGTTAAAATATTTATAAGTCATACATATTAAACAAAAGAGCAAATATGAAAGCAGAAGCTTTAAAGCCAGTTGAATTTAAAATTGTACTCTTTTTAGTTTATCCTTCAGGCTTTTTTTAAGTCTCAGTTTTACTCACTCTTTCCAGTTATAGTCTGTTAAGGTGAACGAGACCTGGAATCTAGAATGAATTGAAGGAGAAAGCAGAATGTTTTGGAATAGCCCCCTAGCATTTACTTTTACTGTACATACTAAGGCACTAACATAACAAGCCTCTCTCCCTACCTTGTTAGATCAATATTTCCAAGTCTCAGACTCTGCAGTATCTATAGCAACTCCTCTGAGAGTGGGGGAAAGACCCCTCACGATACCAAACTCTCCTCCTCTCATAACTTTCTGTAATAGCTTTCTCCTTTTGGGCTGCCTGTGAAAACTAAACTTTGAGCCTGGTCAAATGTAAGGGGGAAAGCGCTGGAATGATTATTGAGAGTCTATATAAAGGTTCAAAGGAAATTTGTTAGCAAAGGATGTGAGGTCAATCCATTTGCTAGGGAGTCCTGGCCTTGTTTGTGAAACTAATCTGTAAAGAAAGGAAAGCACAAGCTGGTAAATGGGAACTGGCACATGACATACGTCTCTTGAAAGTCTGGAGATATGCCAGAGAGGTGGGAGCACAGTTCATTTGCTAATCTAATATTAAACATTCCTGGTTTTCCATATATTTTCATCTCCTCACTCACATGATTTCTCTCCAACCCTGTTTTGCTGTCCTTTAAGTGGCATGGCGAGGCACAGGGAACCACAGTCAGTAAATCCCATCTAACAACTAAGAGTGGTTGCTGCTAAATCAGCTAGTTTAGCATCTGCTGTCACAAAGCTAATGGATCTGATTTCTTAGGTTTTCAGTCTTTAAAGCAGAAGACCAAAGTGAAAGAAATACCATCATAGAATTCTGTACATTCTGTCCTTATCTGGCTTAGTAATACATCTGCATTAAAAAAAGAATAGACTCAAGCCTTTTTAAGGCCCCATACTTTTGAACAGCTGCTTCATTTGTATCATTTGGTTTCTATGAGAGGGGCAGCATTCTGAGGCTTAAGCAATATGACCATGAGCAAATGTGCTGGGAAATTATAGATAGCCTTGATTCATCTTCTTAAACTTGGAGTACGTAAGTAAACTGTGGACCTAGAGCTGCTGTTGCATTTTCTCTTCCTGAATCCCAATATTTTCATGCCTATTTCAAAATTATTATTTATTTTTCATCTGTTTTTGAGCTGTGTGGACCATCAGTAATGTGCTGATTTTACAAAGTGTTGACATCCTGCATATCGGTGTGGCATGCTGTACTATGTGCTGAACTGTGTCTTCCTTACTCCATTAAGCATAGGGCTTTCTCAAGTAAAGAGTATGTCATGTGTTGATACCTAATGCTGGTCTATTTCCAGTGCAGCATTGATTTGAGCATATACAGCTATATGACATTCTTGAGGAATTGATTGTGAACTGTGGAAGTGAAAAACTTGTGCAAAAATAGTTGCTGAATAGTTTTAACACTGTCATTTTTTAAAAAACTAAAGTGGCCTTTTTATCTACGGTATTTACAAATTTTAAGGAAGAAAAATGGCAAAGGATACATTAATACCAAAACAAACAGTGATACAGTCATGATCCTCAGCATTCAAAAGTAAGTTTGTATAATTAGCTTTAGTATTATTATTAGTGTGACCATAGGTCAGCCATGGTAGATATACAAGAATAAAATATAGTAACAAAGCATATAGTATTTACAATTGATACAAAGCAGAATGAAATTCAGATTACAATTAAGTGTGAGTGTGGGTTCTTAATCTGATTACTGCAATAATTTAGTCATCCGTTTTCTTATTGTACAAACCACTTGCACAGAATTTTGCAACCTTTCACTTGTGGAATCAGAGATGAGAAAAGAGATATAAAACTTATCAGATCTACCTGGACAGTGTTTTAAAACTGGTAGATTGTATTAGTATCCCAGACATTTGCAGAGCTGCCACATGGTCGGCTCCATCTACTTTTGCTATTCACTAACGCCTTGATGTCAGAGCCAGGGCGGATGCAGCCATTGGCAGAGCTGTGTTGTCATCAGTACTACCGTGACATCCCTCCTCCAGTAAGTAAGCTTGCCAATCACCCTATAAGTAGTGTGCATTCACAGAGACCACGAAGAAGAAAGCGAGGTTACTTACCTGTAACTCTGGTTCTTTGAGTGGTCATCTGTGAATTCACACTTCCCACCCATCCTCCCCTCCATCCATCATGTCTGTTTTCCTTTTCCTTTTATACAGACTGTTCTTAGGAACCGAGGCAATCGCCAGGACAGGCAGACCATGTGTACTGGGGGGAGGCAGTCGTAGTGAACACATGCTAAAGCTCTAGAATATTCTGGAAACCTCTGCGCAAGCGCATAATAAAATCTATAGTGTGAATTTACAGGTGATCACTTGAAGAACCAGAGTTGTTTACAGGTAAGTAACTTCTCTTTTTCTTGTAAATCCTCAGTCTGGTTCTATTTTGACCCATGATACATGAAAAGATGAGCAATAATTATGGAAAAATGAGGAGAAATTATTGCTTAGCTTGAGAATTTTTAAAGTCATTTACACTTCTTGAACCCTTTCATGATAGTATTCATGAAAGTACCATTAGGACTACCTTTGAGAGCTGGCTTTGCCTTTCAGATGAATTTTATGCAAAGAAATTAATTTTGCTGAAATAATTATTATGTCCTCTGTTGCTATGGAAATCTGCCACCCCTACTACTCCACAGGCTTCTTGTAGTTTTCCTCATTATTCTTATGCTTATTGTTCTTGTATTTTATTTTATTTTTTTCCTTTTAAATCCTGGTGCATCCATTTTCTCATATTTATTTTGACATACTAAAATGACTCTGCTGCGTGACTTTTATCTGTGCATTTGGTCATCCGGCTCCATACAAATAAGAAGATATCGGATGGACTAAAAAAGGAGTCAGACTAATAACTCTGCACTCTATTCTTGTTGCATAAAGAAGTCTCGCCTTTTCTCTGTCTGATTTACCAAAGGACAACATAGTACTGAGCATAATACTAAACTAGTAGTAAGAACACAGAGAAGACAGAACATTGGAAAGGTCCATAGCAATCTGAATTTTTTTTTAAAGTAAAAAGTAAATTCGGAAGAAGAACCAGCAGAAGATATACACTCAGACATGTATGAAAATAACATGCTAACTAGGGATACCTGCCTGCCTGCCCCTCTGAATCATTTCCTTTTCCCCTTCTTTTTTGAGGAAATTGTTCCTTCATTTCTTTGAGGATGATTTTGCTGCCTGCTTACTGCTGCACTGGGCTTAAATAGAAGAGAAGGAAAACACAAAGTGGTGAAGGGAGAGAAATCACCCATACTCTAGTCATTTTGGTTATTGGGGCTTGGATTTTATTTTTTGCCTTTATTTGCTTGCTTTTGCCTTTATTTTGACTTTTCTTGGATTTCGGGAATGGGAACTGTGTAATATGTTTTTCTTCTGTTACCTTTCCATGTGTGTGAGTGTGGAGTGGTGGTGGGGAGTTATTTTCCTGTTTGTTTGTTTTTAATTATAATTAGATTTTTTACTATGTATTTATTCTGTTAAATGTGTATATTTTGTTGGGGTTTGGGGGACTGTTTTGTTTGGTGTTAGTGGTTCTTGGTTGTGCTCTTGCCTGCTTCTGGAGTAGATGGATTCCTTGTTGCCTTGCTTCTGCTTTCTTTGGGGTAGTTTTTACGGGTTCTTTAGGGATTTTTTGGATTAACACCAGAAAAACAAATGGAGGGGAGGAAAAAAGAAAAGACTGGTGCATGAAAACAATGAAAACAGTAGTGGCATCTCTCCAGAAGAAATAGAAATGAAAGTTTTCTTCATGTACATCTTAATGCTAACTTACTACGTATCAAAACAATCCTATACTGTACTCTGATTATGCCAGGAAGGGGAAGAGACACCACAACTACACCTGTGCAATAGTCATTGTATTTTATGTGCTCAGCCTTTTGATTAGAAAGGAGATACAGTACTGCAAATTCCAAAATCCTGTAAAACAAAAGACACATCCCTTAAAACATTACAAAGGCATGCTGTTTAGTGATTGAGGCACACAGTGGCAAAGCCAGCTAGTTTTCTACCCATCCTCATCCCCTGCACAGTCTGAGGAGACCATATGCCTCAATTAGAGCTGTTTCGGAAGAGTTTTGCAGATTTCGATGAGTAGTGCCTCACCTACCTAAACGGCAGGACCATCCCTGCACATCAGAGACTACTAGCAGTGACTGCCACTGGCAGAAATGCATCTAGTGAATGAATGTACATTGATAGAAAGATGCTTTCTGCATTGCAACATACTGTAAATTACCCCCAATTTATGAAGCTCAGTGGCATAACCAACAACGCTAGTCTCCAGACATCCCTGGAGGTTTCAGCCTGTCATTGATGGAGTTACACTCTCCCTGAAAACACAAGTACTGTACATAGTTTGCGTGCCCTCTTGGATTTGTCTCTGGCACTGAATACTCAGATCTTGGCAGTGGCCAGGAATTAAAACTAGTCCATCAATCGTATCAGTTCCTGGAGATGTCTGAGCTGGCCACAGTGACACATGCTTTAGTTACATCCCACTTGGAT